ATCTTAATATATGAAGTCTGATTATGTTCGTGTTTATCATTATTACCGTTATTAATATCATTATTAGTTCCCCGACACATTAGATATTCTTTTTGTATCTTCTTACCCTTCTAAACATATTTAACTCCAGATTGTCCTTTGAAATCAATTTTGACTTTCATAGCATCAATCTTAATTATTATTGAACAAATATTTAAACTAATATCCGGTTTCACTCTGTGTACTATTACATAAATCTAAGTGTATTCATACGAGTGCTTTAACGGATTTTTATTTTATTTTTCTAAATCGTTGGTTTCCTTCTGAGGTTGATATTCATTACACAATTATTATTCTTATCATGGATGAAACTTTTCACTAGGTGTTCACTTCTTTTCTCTCTTCTTTCCCTCTAAATAATTATTGCTCTTAAGATTACGAAGTTTTTAATTAAGACAATAACTTGTGTTTTATCTTCACTATGCATATATGACTACTCATACATATTGATATTTTATTATCTTTTTCATTTAATTGAGACTTTCATAGCATCACTCCGAACTATGACTGCACAAACATTTATATTCTAGCGTCATATCTTACTGCAATTATAAGTTATTTTTTCTTAATTATTTTTTGTTACTAATTTAACGATACACACATAGTCGTTTATTCTTGTTCTTTGTTCACAAACACGCCTATTAGACTGTTTGCGTATTTCATGTCTCCTTTATTTCTATTCCCTTATTTTCTCCATTTCCTTCTTTAAACTCAATTCAATATTCTTCTCAATTACAAAGAGCCCATTTATTATTATTAATATTCTACTATTATTATTCTCAATTTTTTATTTTATTTTTATTATTATTATTATTTTTTTTTTTAAATATGGCAAGTATAATGCTAACATTATTGAAAATTGTGTATTATTGCATTTTCTGAAGAAACCCGAAATGGTTTCTTCACAACACTTATGTACCCATAAGATGTTTGTGAATAATAATAATAATAATAACTTATTTTTTGAACATTCAGTACGACAGCAAAAGATACTGAAGTCCTCCATCCCGGTACGCGTTAATGGTGGCCATAGCCGGTGGATATAGCCGTCTATTTTATATCACTGACGGGATGATGAAAGTTTGCCATTTCGTCGACACTGGCCCAGTAGTTGGCGCCCTTCCTGTGAATAATAGCTATCGTTTGAATGATCCGGCCATCAGTTTAAGAAGCTAAATGGTAAAACGATCGTCACATGAGGTGAACGACACGTTTGCCTCAATATGGATTTACGTAAAGCCATTCCCTATAATTTTTTACAGATGTGTGAGTGCCAATCACTGGTACAAGGCTGCTATTATACCATGAACTACCCGTCGGTCCAAGCAAACGGAGTTTAGTTGATGAAATCGCTAAATTATATGTTTGGCGGACTTCATTTCTTAGTTAAGAATTTTACTGGTATTGGTTCCTAATCACACGATCTTTGAAGCTGAGCGTATAATTATTGAGAAGATACGCAATCAACACGTAACATTAAGAGCAGGTCAGCAATGGTGAACGCGGCAACAAAGAATCGAGATGTCATGGCTCAGTCATTAGGGCGTGGTCACTTTTTATAACAACTTGCCAGTTGTATCAAAAGTATTAATCCCTTTCCAGCTCAAATGTGTTCTTGGGAAATGCTAGATGTATATCGCTCAGCGTCGTGATAGGACGAGCCAGTGTAGACGATGATTTAACTTCCACCTAAGGTCATTTAGATTAGGTAGTCACGTCAAGACAAATCTACAATTTATGGATTAAATCTCTTATTATAATAATACGAATACCGAACAAGATCATAATTTTAAGCACACACAAACATAAAACTAATTCATACTTACAACTGGTGCTCGATAAGCATCTCAAATCATACGAACGACAACCGACATTACTAGAAAGGCTAAAACTGGTAGAAAACGAATTCGATCAAATAATGGATATGGGAATAAGCTGGTCATCAGTCAGCCTATGTGCTTTCCCGTTGCATATGGCCCGTAAAAATAGTACCAGTGTTTGAAGCCGATTCATGGTTGAAGACGATTTAATATGAACAGTCACTATCACTACCTATCGCCGTACATTCAGGACATAACAGCTACCTAAAAGGTACGACTGAATTTTTAAAATTCGACTTGGTTAAATAGTATAACTAATCACCTGTAGCTTCGAAAGACATTCGTGAAACGGCTATAGTCACGTTCTCGAAACTCTACATACTTTTAGGTACCCATTTTGACTTAAGAAGTGCTTCCAAAAATTAAAAAACGATTTTATGATGATGTATTTAGCGGTCTTTAATTTATCCACTTGTATTCACGGAATCCCACCTCTTACATCTCAAACTTGTTTACAAAAATCAACAGAAAACAGCAGTAACACAGACATTCAGATTTGTCAGATTGGAACCAATTTTCTGCATTTCCTTGGACACACCACCGACATCCAGGGTACCCACTCTCTGTACGATAGAGCGGTAGTCATTCTGGATTGCCCGGAGCCAACTGCAGGCAGGCAATCACGCACTTTTAGTGGCCTGATAAGTTTTAAACAACGGTCCATACCGAATCAGGTGTCTCTCAAGAGACCGTAAACAGACAAATACGTGGAAATGCGAAACTTGCGGGCTCGGACGAAAACGCAATGAAAGCATTCTCTTCATTTGAGGGAAGTATCTCGAAATCAACTACAATCACACACCAGGATATTGAAGCACATATTAATTTCTCCATAGACGATTCCGGTTAGAGAATAGGAAGAGTCTTACAACAACGGGCGGATAGCAAATGAAAACCATTGACACTCTTCTCGATATGGTTGCAAGACAATGAATCGAGGTGCAGTACTTTCAGCAGGGAACCCCTATCCATGTATTGTGATGTACGGCACTTTTGACACCATGGACGGCCGAGAACTCACTTTGTTTAACGGCCGTCAATCTCCCACCTTTTCCCCAAGGTCATCCCCAGAGAAGTACTCCATTCGAGAGTCTGGACAACTGGACTACATTTCTCAGTTTGCCTCAGATATGCAGAATACCTCCGGAGTGAACAATGTGGCTACAGACGCCTTGTTTCGTATAGCATCCTTGAACAGATTCCAAGGCATTGACAGTCTTAAACCCGCTCAGTTTTAAAAAGACGAGACTGATTTGCAGCACGAGTTATCTTCTACAACACTGGAACTATGAATCAGACAAGTGGAGACAGGCAAGGAAACTTTACTTAATGATATATCTTCAGGCAGAGGTCAGCTATTAGGGCCGAAAAGTTTTCGAAGTAATACCTTCAATACATCAGAAATCTTTCACGTCCAGTTATTCGAGCAACTATCAAACTCATTGCAAAGCGATTTTGTTGGGCTGGTGTGAGCAAGGCTGTGAGAAGATAGAAGCGTTCTTGTTTAAGCTATCAGAAATCCGAGTTGCTTAGACCAAAAATGTCCCTTAGGCTCACTTTAAAATCTGACACTCGCTTTTGCCACATCTGTCTTGATTTGGTAGGTCCCTTACAAGATTGAAAGACAACCTAGCAATGATGCTTGGCCTAAAGCCTACCGCTAGAGTCCCGTAAGATTGACGTGGTCAGAATCAAAGTCCATTATTTGCAGAAGCCATTTATTTTAGGGACTTATTTGGCTCTAAAAAAGTATGCGTATGTTAGATTGCTCGGTCTTCTGTCCAAATATGAATGTCTACGTTTAAACGTGCTCAAAGGATATTGCCTATCATTGCGGAAGATATGTCTCAGCTGTCAGTTGTTGATGAACCTATTTGCTTGGTTGTGTAGTAGATTAAGGTGATTTAATATTGAATCAACTCACGCTTAAGAATAATTCATCGTATCTTATGTGGTTTATCGACCTGAAACTTCTAACGTAGAAGATGTCCTCAAAAATCTTAAAGAGCTATCTCAAATTATTTACTTCTCGAGGTTTATTTCCCTTAGTGAGATGTCGACCATTGAAATTCTCAAATGGGACACATTTTCAGCAGCTTGTGCTAATGCTTCTCAAGCAACATAATACGACCTGGGTTTTCGAGGGTTAATATAGTTTAATAGACCTTTATCAAATTTTAGTTAGATCGTATGCTGATTGTCATCAAAATATAAATCCCAGCTACCCTCGTATATAATTATAGACTTAATCCAAGTTAGAAAATAACGGAATAACACAAGTCAAACGCGAGAATGAAGTTTGAACTCGTATATTTCGTAAACCTATTGTTCTGAACAGACAATTAGAGAAAAGAAGTAGAGAAAGGAAAAAAGGAGAAGGTGAAGTGAAATTTCGCTCAGTGAAGAGGGCAAGTAGGTCAACTCAGTTTATTCAAGCGTTACTCAATATCTGTAGTCAGATCGAAAATAAGTTACAGACATATGATGGATAGGATAAACAACGAGCGTTTATACGATTACATAAGAACAGTCAGGGCCAATAAGCCAATAAGTGGCATAGTCAAAATATGACTTGGGAGTAATGAATAGATTGGTTTATTCAGAAACTGGAGTGGCCAGTGCATGCAGAAAAGTATTTGCGAGCGTGAATACACTAAATCGGAACTAAAAACCAAAGATTGAGTTATTATTTTTTGACATTGATCTTAAATCCGGTAATTACAATCTTAAACATTAAGCGAATTAGTGAAAAGAGTAAATTACAACAAAAACTGATTACAAAATAAGTTTACGTTAACTATCTCTTCGATAGTACATCTAGCTTTCAATACTTGTCGCTATTGTCTATCACTTTTTTTAGGTTCGATTCTGTTGTCATACAATTGTGTGACGACTAATGTCAGACTTAAATTTGCTCTCAGACAGAAATTTCAAACCAACGTTTTCCGACATCTCAAGTCCACTTGGCCCAAAACGTTCTGTTTGTTTGTTCCACTTCATCGCGACTGAAGATTGAATTTTGATATTATTACAACAATCCAAAAGTTATCATAAGTTAATGTGCTCTTACGACCGGGTAGAATGTTGTTTCGCGAATTTTTATTACCGAGTGATACTATTTTGATTTTATCAATTTTTCTTCAACCGCACATTCATTCTATACTTTACAAAAGTTCGGACGTTCATTTTAATTGCTCAAGCTTATTTCACCGAACTGTTTACGAAAGCTATTTGCTTACAGAAGGTGATGGACTTATTTTAAGTTGCAATGTATGTTCCGAATGCTTCAAAGGTAAAGAAATGTGCGAGCTTGGCGTTGTCAAAAGTGGTTTGTTGATCCCGAGGGTGGAAACAACTAGTATTCAAAGTCATTATGCCAGTGATACTAATTTATTTGTAGCTCCGTATCCTACCTCACTGGAACGTATTCGTCTACGGTATGTACTCTTAACTTCATACATTTTATTTCGATTACAAATTGAGAAGTCATTTTCGGTTATGGTACGTGTTTTTATTTTATAAAATAATATGTAAATTGGTATTTCATATAAACCTAGCAAACAAATAAAATATCCAGGATGTTGTTAAAGAGAGTATATAATGTGACGCCTGACCTTCAGTAAGTTTATGTCCGAACTAGAGGCATATTGTGTGCTCAGGCAGGGGAAGTAACTGTATGTGTTAGAGAGTTCTTAACAGAGTAAACGAGAGGAAATGTGACAAAACGACTGACTAAGCACAAGAAATGGGTGTGCATCTAATGATGAAAGGAATGGGCGATAAACAGAAATAAGTCAAACATGAAATCAGGGCAGTCTGATAACCAAGTCTAAGAGTTGACAGAGTAAGGTTTCATATGGGTTACTAAGCTCTCCCATGTAAGGAATTACTGTTACAGTTCTTGTAAAACTTGACCGTTGTCCTGGCCAGAGATAATGTGTTCAGAGCTAGTGATTTGTGCATTCTGGTACGGGTTCTATGTAACCCATTCCGATCTGACCGTGAGCGGACCTCAATGAAAATGTAAGGTATGATAAAAATCGATATACATCTGTGAGCTTGTTCTGAGACACCAGTTTTGTTTAGCACTAACTACGCTATTCGGAGGGTGGCTCCAACAAATAACGAGCGGCTCAAAACTATCTCCTGAAAAATTCTATTGCTCGCTTGTCTCATTGTTGGAAACGAAGTGCCGGTTGAACTTGTATTAAGAAACAAAGTTAGGTGAGAAAAGTACAGACATTAACTCTACCTATCCCTTTGCTGTGAGGTTTGAACTCACAAACCAGTTATGCCTTTTATGACATAAATAATTAAAGGTGGTGTAGACTTGAATAACTTAAAAATTTTGGATTGAATATTATTTTCAATTACTCGTTATTTACACTTACAATGGGTAAATTAGACACAAATTAGAAGGTAGCTTAGAATATTTATACTAAGATCAAACAATATTACATGAGGTGCACATTTATATTTTTGAAACCATCTTACATTAATCAAAACAGTGATTCGACTCGGATGACTTATCATTCCTCCCCAAAATAAAATTATTCTAAATACAACCTTTCGCTTTATTTGTTAAGTTCCTCTTTTGTTGCTTACGAATGTTAAGACCTTGCCTGATGCTCTGTGACATTGTCTTAAATAGCTTGTGGGTATCCGTTAACTCCAAAAGTTTAGAATATTTGACTGGTTCAATGAATTTTTATCATTGTCTATCATTCTGGATAAGGTACGGTACAATATTTTTGAGACTTCATTGTTACATATATCTATTCGAACTTCAAGTTTCATTGGTAAAGAACTTAACGGGACCTCGTGATTACTTTTTGAAATAATAATGAGGAGGATGAAGGTAGGATAGAAATCCAAAGAGTGTCAACATAATCTAACTTCATACACGGTTGCCATCAGTCCATCCATAAAACTGACTGGGACAATTTTTACGCTTCCTGAGATAGTATACCTCAAACTACTTATAAATTAGATGACTAAATCATATTAGTAATGTTTGATTATGGAAAATGTTTGATTCAAGCTTAACCGTGGTAAAATTTCGTGCGGTAAAGTTTTATAGGTCAGTGTAAAAACCAGTGTTTTGCTAGCGTGCATATATATTTGCGTATCCTCTGATTCTAGCAACGGTTTCAAGTTAGTGTGCTAGAAGTTAACCGAGATCGTATCACCAGTATTTGGGCATACTTTTGTATTTTGGGAGCCATAGCAACTATATGATACCTCTACATCTTCCTGTTACTGCTGTGCGCTTTTCCGTATATCAATGAATAAACAAGTTACTACAAAATAATAAGAATGCGTCGCGTACCATTACGTACTATTTGTGGTTTTTTACATCAATAAATTCATCTTCAAATGTCTTATTTCATAAAAAACTACCTTGTAAGGCAGAGTAACATACTGGCGTCACGCTAATTAACGATACATACGTTTTAAAATATCCTAAGACTTGTCTTTATCGTTGTTAGGAAGGTACTGCGTGTTGTAACTAAGAGGAACTAATAATTCCACAACATAATTTAAAACTATCTAGTGTCACACTACACACATATTTTATATAATCCTTATTTGTTCAAACTGATGTAGGCGACTGTTATAAATTTGCTTATTTTGCCAGGTTACGCAAACGAATTTCGCAAAACATCTCTTCGCTTTTAAGTGCTCTTCCTCTGCTATATGATGATGGTCACTTGAAAGCAGAAGTTACCAAAGAGGCTAACTTAAAAGCACGAAATTTGTCATCATTGTATTTTACGGTTACTAAGCCTGGTCAACCGACAAGCGTGATAAAAACAAGTACAACAAGTACTTATATTAGTGAAACTATCCTTCGCATAAAAAATGCAAAATTTGAGCACACAGGAATCTACAGGTGCATTTTCAAAGGAGAAGTAATTAGAGCATGGTCTGTAACAGTGTTAAAACCTGGAGACGAACCATTTCGAAATCTGTTTTCACGGCTGAAAATTATCCAAGAGAAACCGGAACTAATTTCAGGAAATACATCTAATGGTGATGATGACGACTTAAAATCCTTAGTTACACAACATTTGATCAAAAATAACTTGAAACTACATACATACTGGAATTCATGGTCAGAGTGTGTGCCATGCACCCCAAAAGAAAACTCTTCATTTACTAAAGGTGGCATGCAAATAAGAATTGGTATTTGTCACGTCACACCCATCGATCGATTCCACTCAATCAAACCACATATGTTGGCTGTTGAAACTGAAGAAGTTTTAAAACTGTTCAGTGGACCAGGTTTGCCTTGCCGTTCTCACTTAATTAGGAGTTCGATGTTGAAATACGGACCAAAGGAAATTAAGTTAAGACCGAGTGAACTAATGATAAGATCATGTATAAGGGAATGTTCAGGTTTTAAGTAAGTGCGCTTCAAATGTAAATAAAACTTGAAATATGTGACTGATTTCATTGGTTGGTTATGTATTTTACAAAAGTTTATTTGAAGTCTCGAGTACGATCCTCAATGTTTCTGTAGTTAGACCAAAGTATTAAGTAAAATTAAATCCTACATTTACACAGTGCTATATTAAAAAGCTGCAACAATTTTTAAAATACAACTTGAGAGGTATATATAGAATAGGTTTGATACACTAATGTTAAGCAGTTCAAAAACAAAACAGAAGTATTTATAATGTCGGTATAACTAAGAATGTGTTGATTATTATAACTACAGTGATTCACGATTACATAAAGACTAAGTTGAAAATGAAATCTTCAACGAAACTAGTAAAACATATAGTATTCAAATTCGAACCTAAATATGAGCAATAAGGCTAACAGTGCGACTGTTAATATAATAGGATTGGGATCGAAATTAAGTAGGATAAGAAATGTCCAGTACGGTAGAAGTAAAATATTGTAGAATAAAGAAAGAAGAGTGACAAAATGGCGGAGAAAGGTTATTTATTTATTTAGTTATTTATGAAAGTGGTAGAACATTTCAAATATATGTTAGCTGTCAGGCTACAATAAGTGATACTTTCCCATATCCAAACCCTATTCATTATTTTCTCATGTCAGGTTACACATAAAGTTCAACAGACTTTGATAAAAAGACATTATTCTTGCGAATTTAGTTTACGGAGTGAAGTATGTTCTCATCCATTCTGTTCGCTACACACTAACTAGCTTTATGGTATGCTTCATTTATTAGGTGCTACTACGAAATGCTTGTTTTGAGTTTTCCAGTAGATATTCAACTAAAACGTAGTAGGGGGTGAAAGATTGTGTAACGATTTAGAACGATTCAATGGTCAATTCATATTATTTACAATATCTACTTTACACAGTGAAAATTATGTTAATCTATGCATATATTTTTGCTCATTTTAGCAATATTACTACATTGTCCAAATCACCTTTGAATCAACTGTCACGTCTTCCTAAACGAATCGCGATACAAGTAAATGAAGGTGAACCCCTCATAATCACATGCCCAATAAGGAATTCAGTAGAAAAACCAGTAACGTGGTTCTATGCACCAGATAATTTTGATGAGCTAATGAAGTTAATTAAAACTGCATATAATTTCACTACTATTATTCAATACAAAACACCATTACGATATCTAATTACTACATTAAAACAAGTCAATTTTACAACATTAATACGTGAAACACGTGGACGATATAGAATTGATCCAGCTTATAATATTATCGTAGCTGAGACCGTATCATTGAACAAGACACAGTATAAAGAATTACATAGTTTAATATGCATCCATGGTGATGCGTACTCGATTCCCAATGGTTCAGATATTTATCCTGATTGGTCAGGTATAATTTATATAGATGTTTTGCCACAAAGTTCTTTAGCAAGGATTTTATCAAAGCTAACACCAGTTATTCAAATAATGATGCCGTTTGTTTTAGCATTAGGTATATTTTTTATGATAATGCTCACTTTGTATACTGAAAGGCGACCAAAAATGCGTTTAGCTGCCAAAGGTTTGGTAGTTAAATAATAATTATAAAGCAACATAACACTGAACTTCATATGCACCTACAAAGTTGAAAAAGAACATTGAACGAATATGCCAAACTAATAAAAATGTTCATGTTTTAATATAGCTAATAATGTATTCAATTTGTTCACATTGCCAAATATCCTTTCTATTGCCACTAATACTTGTACTACATATACTACTCTCACATCTCTCTGTGCTGATGTGGTATGGTAAACTGACGTACAAATGTGCCAAATTCTACGTCACATCTGACTAAACGACAAATTGTAAGACTTCGATACTACAAACAGATTAAATATTAATAATAAACGACAGGACAACGGGTATATTTAGTTAAAACCAGCTGATCCCTTGTTTTTCTTCGTTTAGAACTTCTAAGATAATATAAAGCTGATTAAAAAAGTCAAAATAAGATTTCTAAAACTCGTTATTTCATTTTTGCTAGTTTTGCACCCTGACTACCTTAGGAAATATCTCTTTTCGTGTTTTACACTGGACACAGGCACCCATATTTACGTGAAACAGTGCACAGAAGATGTCTGATAGCTTATATACAGCTGAATTCAGGATAATCTAACAATACCTCCAATATAATGTAACCCACTATTTTGTGTGGACCGACACCATCTTGAGTAAATATGAAAATCTTTATCGGGTTAGGTGTGAAATCTACACTAGTGGTTAACAAAACTGTTTCGATGCCTGATCATACATTTTAATCTAGTTTATTCCAAGGTCAAGGCCAATTGTCGAACAGGTCCTGAATTACTGATCTCTGGAGACCATTCACCCCCCCACGAGAATGTCACTTAAACTGAGAATATTTTAAAATACCATATTCCACAAACGCAAACATAATATTTCAGCTTTCAGTAAATATAAACACAAATGCTAATAATAATACAAAAGGAATGAGGTGTTGCAACAACATACTATATATACTATTGCGAAAGTTGTTATTGTTACAACCACGGAACACAATCCAATTCATTATATACATTACGGAAAACTATGATAAGTACCAGTAATTGCATTTAGTTAAACCATATAGTACAAATATCATTTAACTGCTTGAGAGTCGGAAAAGCTTACTTTTCTAGCAGAAAAATTTAAAACCGGATTTCAATAGTTTATTTATTTATTTATATTTATTTGAACACATAAATATTGGTACAAGGGGGCACCAGATATACATGCGCTACACAATGACGATGAGAATGGGAAGAGAAAAAGAATGTAAGGTGAGTATGAGAGGGAATAAAGGAAAAAAGAGAACAATAACAACCACGGATTAGTGTATGGTAGTACAATAATAATAATAATGGGGGGAACCGGAGGGTAAAACCAGAAAGAATTCTTTCAGTTAAGGAAGTTACGGTCACTTTTTATGTAGAAAGTAAAAGAAGGTTACATCAGGATCGTCACTGGCTTTTATTCTGGGCCATATCTGATAACGTCTCCAGCCACTGCGTTACACCATCTGATTGGATTATCGTCTCTGCGCCCGAACACATGATGCCGAACCTCTGCATTACTAACATGGTGTTGCCACTGGATATCGACAATCCTTCGGAGACAACAATGATCAAACGCAGTGAGTCATCTAACATCCTCAACTCAGTGAGACCAGGTTTCATAAGCATAGAGCGAAAATGCTCTCACCGACGCGTTGTAGATCCGGCCTTTTACAGTCAGACTGACATCATGAAGGCGCCAACGATGGCCCAGATTGGCATAAGTCGCTCTGACATTCACTATACGTGAATCGATTTCATCAATAGTGGTACAAATTATAATTTTATCTTCATTAGTATGAATATTTCTGAAGGACAAGGACGTCATTCCATGTCGATGATTACAAGTTGCACCAGTCTGATTATTTGCGACGAATTCCTAACCATTTCTCAGTACTCGAGCGTCTCATTTCTTAAAACGTGAACCAGAAAGAGAAGGCAAGAAGTATGGAAGGAGTTTACTTTGAAGGTCAGTTTGTGTATCGGAATCGAGGGTATTTATTTGTAACCAAGAGCTTCTAGATCCTACAGTTGGACGTGCTGAAATTGATGGCGAATTCGACAACTGTCCATCCAAGATAGTAAGAATATTGTTCTTTTGTTCTAGAATCTTCATTTGAGTTTTTGAGTAGCACTGGTTACTCGAGGTTTTTTTCAGCGTCTTCTTGGTTTTTAAGAACTTTTACTAAGGGCTCCAAACACATCTATAGTTTTGTGGAAAAATATGGTTTCTGACTAACCAGTTTCCCCGAATATTACTCAGACCCGCACATGGAGAAAACCAATTAAATTGTAAGGGTGAATTTAAGCATATGTAATTGCTACCCAACAATAGATGATTTAAAGAAATTTACAATACTGCCATTATTTATCGACTTAACACAAATTAAAATACTACGAAAAATAGAAAAACAGAACTTGTGTTTCAAAAGTTATTTATTTCCACTAGTGATCATTAGTTAATTTTAATAGTTTATGAACACTAAACCGGTTCGAGAATAATTTTGGTCGTACACCGATTATTTTTTTATATCTATCGACGACCAGGAAGCATTTAATTTTTTATATAATGGTTTAATACCAAAATTCCAGTTAATTCAACGGTTCATTACCTGACGTCAGTCCAAAATAAATCTTCAGTTTGACCATTATATCAGTTGAATATTCTGGAACAATAACCAAACTAATTGAGTTGGAAAAAGAAACTAGTCACACATGCTCTAAAAGATGTTAAGTTTATCAATAAGTATAAAGGCTAAAAATCCTAGAGTTTTAGAACGAATTATAAAAGACTCTAGTCGTCAATGTGTAGACTAGTTATCTTCACATTGACCAACATACTATGATTAGGTAAACTAAAGAGATTCTCTACATAACATGCATAAAAGAAATCCGGTTGAATACGAGCTACCGGAAGAGAATTGTTTTCTTCATTTTATTTTCTATTCTCATTCATTTGCAGTATTTATTATCTTCAAATTTTTCCGATGAAATAATAAGAAACAAATTTATACATAGCGTGGAAATAAAAATATAATAATTCTTATTTACATTGTCCACATTTTAGAAACAAGCTTTCACAATTATCATAATATGAGAAAAATGATATGTAGTTGTCAACTGTACATGTATAATAAGTAATCAATTGATAAACTAGAATTCTGCATCTTCATAATACTTTTGTATATCTCGCATTGCTTCAAGCGCAGTTGCATGTTTATTTTCAGTTTCTGTATCCATTGACAAACCGAATACACATACTATAAACCGAAAGAAAAAAAGCACTGATTGAAACAAAATCTCGTATGTCAAGTACATTTCTTTTTATATCAAACAAACTGCTTGTCGGAGCAGCTAAAACTAAACAGATTTTTGAACTACTTATTTCTAGTTTTACTTGATAGTTTACATATACACATCACAGCAAATAAATCGGATGAACAAAATTGTTATTTGTACTTATAAACATACCAAACATAGTGAAACTTAAAGGATAGTAGGTTTTCAACAGTGGAATCGCATGTCATTTCCTCGGTAGTGGTTACAGTTTCTATATTTCAAATATTTTCAAAATAAGTAATATCTAAACAACTTCAAATATTTGCACTATATTGAAAATTATCTCTATAAAAAGGTTTAAATTCAATTTATAAGTTTGGAAACAGATTGCTTTCAATCTTGCTCAGCTACAATTTACCTCGGTTTTAAAAGTCAGTAAGTGATTTCTATCGGTTTAAAAGCGGACAATGGCGCTCAGTCACTTGACATTTATTATGTCGGATTTTCCATTTCATGTACATAAAATGGTAGTTTAACTGGTACCAAGTATTTCATTTGCCTTGCTGAAGTGTATATTACTGTCATGTCTAACAAAAAAGGTCAGTGATTAAATGAACCAACGGTAAACCCTGATCTTACCAAACGTTTCCCAATTACTTATATGTAAGCAAACGTAGGTAATGACTGTGCATGTGCTACATATTTTTCGCTTATCACTGTCAATAAGCATTTATAGTCCAATTGGTCAATTAACCATCTCTAACTTTAATTATGTATATAATCTCTTTATTACTGTGTGGTAGCTTTCATTATTCATTAACAGAACTTCGAAAATGCATATATATTTGAACTAAGCTTTTGGTTAGCGATTTTTAGCGAGTTAGTTTTCTACGGGATTGAGTCGCTAACCCCATGCCCAACCCTACTCTCTTGCCCGGGCTTGGGGCTGGCAGTATCCCCAGAGGGGCTCCAGGCGGAGTTTTAAACTAAATTACTAACTAGTAATGAGAATCGGTCAATAAAATGGCTTCTCGTATACTATCAACTAGATTTCGTCGGTAACATTTTACAGTGAGCTATATTATTTGATCAAATAATAATTAATATTTATCTTCTAGTCATCTACATACTGACAAATGCTTTAAGATAAATTAGTAAACCGATATGTAATCGAGATCCAATTCAACTTAAGGGTATTTACTAGTAAGAAAACACTTCTCGGTCCAACTAAAATACTGAGATTATGATTGTGAATATAGGTGTTAACACTGATACAATCCTCAGAAGATCAACATAAGGCATAATTTTTTATCTGCATAAATGATAATATAATGATAGTTAGACATCAAAATTTTCAAGTGTTATAAAAAAAATTCATGTAATAAAAACTGTTGTTTTGAATAAAAAGAAATAAGGATAATTATGTATATCGTTGAATTCTAGTGAGAAGCAGTGACCAGTGGAATTCAAACGTGTCTGTTGTGAGATAGTAACTCACTGATGACAATGGTGGATGTGTCGCTCAATTTTGTGGATTAGTTGAAGTTAGACATTAACACCGTTGGATGCCGGCCGGCTCAGTGGTCTAGAGGTTAATCGTTCTCGTGCAAGACTGATAGGTCCTGAGTTCAAATCTCACGGGGTGGGATCGTAGATACGCACTACTGAGGAGTCCCATACTAAGATGAAACGGCCGTCCAGTGCTTCCAGGTTTTCCATCATGGTCTAGCTTCAATTGACTCATGATCTCAACTATTGAAATTACTTAAATCTTCACAAAAACTCCTTCTAATTATGAAATTATTATATATTATCAACTTACATGTTTTAGTTAATTCAACAAATAAACTTTTTTTACCAGATTTAGCTGATAACATTTCATTGTTTGCATCAATAACAACAAAACGATCATTTAAAAAATCAATATTTAGTTTTTGTGTGCCAATTTTTGCCATAACCAAACGTATAGCACGAACTTGATTTGTACTCAAATTAGTTATACTCTAATATATAAAATAATAATAATAATAATAATAACGAGGATATCAACTAAAGTGAATCGGTCAAGTTTATCGAAAGTTAATAACTATTTTTAAATTTCGATAGAAATAAAGTCACACTGATAATGAATAAAATAGAATGTTAACAAAATATTATATGAAATATTCCTATAATAAATATTTACATTTTCAACTATATTTAAGTGAAGAAATTTGATATACGAAATCTTTAAAAGGGGTTTCTTTATGTGGATATTATAGTAATTTCAATAGTTAAGATCATGAACTAATTGAAACTAAATCATCATGGAAAACCTGGGAGCATTGAGTTTGAATCTCGCGAGGCGAGGTCGTAGATGCGCACTGTCGAGGAGTCCCACAATAGGACGAAACGGTTGTTCAGTTTTTTCATGGTGGTCTAGCTTTAAATGACTTATGATTTCAACTATTGAAACATACTAAATTATTTATTTTATTAGGTAAGTTTGACATTTCTTAAATTTCTCTTACAAATATTTCACTCTTAAAAAGTAGGGTTAAGAGAAACCTAATCGGGGAGTTGAGAATATAAAGCTATTGAGCAGTTTACGCTTTGTTTCATAGAGTATACCTATTAGAACAGATCAGAGTTCATCAAAATTCTACAGTTATACAACCAAGGAACATTCGAGTATATTTTGTGAATAAAATGAAGTATGTTGTTTCAACTAAAGTATAAATATTCTATAGATTTTCTTCTACTCTATATCTTATATGTGGTGTATAGCAGTTGTAACAGACAATTTGGAATGCTAATTAATCTTGTATTAATTTGACGAATAAAACAATTCTTTGTTTATAATTATATACAAGAATTGATTATCAAACGGTAACCAGTTGTATGCTCTAGTTATTAGTATCCATTAACGTTAAACAAAAGACTTGATAATGCATTAAACTATAACCGTTTCTTAAACTCTGTCCATATAGGTATTTCTGTGTACTGTTAGCGGCATTTACTGTTCATTACTTTTAAAACCAACCAGAAGTTAGTATTATCTCTTAGGATCCAAACTTATATGTTTGAATTCAATCAGTATTTAAACAGAAACCTACTAATAGAGTAAACCACATCATTTTTTAGATTACTGACAGATAAATTAGACCATTTATTAATCCACATTCAATATTTATCTAACAGACGTCAGATTAGCACCATACGAAACAAATTTAGATGGTATAGTTGTTTTGGTGGAGATTTTGTACATCTGGAAAACGATTTCATCTTCGCAAACTGATATCACCTAAAAAACTGGTGATCACCCAGTGATGAACGTTTTACTATTTATCTTTGTTTGTGATTACTCAAAAAGCGACACTTATTACTTCATATACAACCAAGTCCAATGCCTGTGTGTTATGTCATTAACTCGGTACTATTGATTTACGAAACTGTGATCTAGTGAATCACACGTTAGATCTCAATAAATTTGAAAAGAGCACCATTCTCATTCAATACTTGTTGGACCCATCTGTGTATAAATTATGAAACGAGGTGGATTCAGTATAATAAACCAAAACACTCAACTCGATGATGAAATTTAAGGATTGTAAAACTGTAAAATATGAATGTATATATTAAGTTTAATTGCTGATAGATAATTCCACATTATTATTTATAGGTCAGTCGTATAATTAGTTGTTTCAGGAATCGTTTTACCTACAGGTTTTCGAAATCTGTTATTCAAAAAACATCGGGGAGATTTTAGATAGTTCCATATTTTTCACTAAAGACCTGTGCAAGATATAAAGTCTTGTGTTATATATCGGAGTATCCATTAGTCGCCATCCTTATTTGCGTTTTTACTTAAGACCAATATTAGTGATACACACTGTAGATCAATTGGCCCTGTACACGAAAACAGATAGCTTACAACATGGACATAATAAATACTCTTCGTTATTTGACAAGAAATATTAAAAGAAAAGTGATCTTGGAATTGACACAGTAACATCCACTTGTCAATGATGATAACTCAGAAGATTGAATTCTATGGAAGGGCCCAGCTAAATAGCCGTGATGCGCATGAAATCGAGGTTCAAATCAACCATTTATATGAAGAAGGGTTCCGTTATTACAATTTATGTGTAAATTAGATAATAACCCGGAATCTGAAAGCATCTATAGCGACTGACGCTTATGCATGAATAGAAAGAAAAAGGCTTTGACAGATTAAGTAACAGATAGATGGTGTGTCTTAAGTAAGTAACGGCTATCAATAATCAGAGACGAAGGACAAAACATACGAAAACTGTCATGTTTAAATAAAAATTCAGGGAATTCACGAAAACCTGAGGTGTAAATACAATAGCAAATAAAGTGAATGTTGTCTGTTTATTTAAATACTTCGGAATATCACAGAATAAACATTATTATATACCATATGCTTAGAAATTATGATTACTGAATATTACTGAATATTTACAAGTAGTATAAAATAATTGACACAAAATAGATTGAGCAGGGAAGGAGTGAATATAGAGCATGCAAACAAACTTTACATGCAGTTTCTTTGAATCATGTTTTATGTATTAGTAAAATACCCATCTCCAGTTATAACTAAGAAATCTCCATTTGTTCGATGTTGTTATCAAGGTGAACATATATATAATAACTACTAAATAACAAAGAATTCAATAAGAAGAAACAATGAAACATAACTTAACGCTATAACACCACCTTTTTAACCAAATAAATCATTTTAATAAATAATATTGCAATTATTGATGATAATGTATTTTTTTCGAAAAAGATACTATGCATTAAGATCAGTCGAACTAACCGCGAATTCCGGGATTTTAAATGCACTTCCTAGTACACGACTTCCATGATCGCAAACGCAAAGAGCATCTAGTTTTGAATGAACTTCAAGTAGTGCTCGACACTGTTCACTCCAAGCACTATATGGTACATGCACGGTCATATCTATTATTTCCTGAGAATGAAAAATAAATAATAAAATAACAGTAATATAGCGTAATAAACGATATCAATATTTTTCTCAAACCAAGCAGCATATTCCGGTGGACATAAGAATAAGGGATTATTTAGGTGGCTTTTTCGACTAGTTGGTTTCCACGGTTTGGTCGACTAGTTCTGTATGTCAACAGACAGACTTCATTTCTTGTACTCGTGCTAAGCACTTGAGAAGTTAAGTTCATATCAATGCCAAAGGATTCTATTTTACGCAGATACGCAGCCATATAGTCGATAGAATTTAAATCGATCTATTTTTATGGACCATCAGATGAGACTAGTTTAAAAAAAACTTTGAGCAATCTAATTGTAATATGTGTATCATGCATAAAAGCGATTATTTCTTCCGATCATAACTAACGATAAATGTAATTGCTAATTCTTTGAAAAATAAAACTGAATAGATTTGTTATAACTGCAAATTAAACCAGAAAAAAAACGGAGATTCACATGATGGATAGAAGATAAAAGGCGATGTAAGACGAAATTTGTATACATCCACCAAAAACAATAACACAATCATTTTAGTAAAACATATTCAATTATACACAAATCTTACTACTATTAAATAATTATTCCATGCATACTTACTTACTTGCACCTGTTATTCCCAATAAAGCATAGGACAAAGACCAACATTCTCCAACCCACTCTGTCCTACTCATTCCTTTCCACTTCTATACAATTGTTAGTCATTCTTCTCATCTATGTCTCCATTTCTCGACGTAATGTGTTCTTTGGTATTCCTCTTCCCCTTTATTTAGTCTTGAGGATTACATGTGAAGGCTTGTCTTGTGATGTAGTTCGGTGCGATCCTCAATGTGTGTCCTATCCACTTCCAGTGATTCTTCCCGATTTCTTCCTCCACTGGAATCTGGTTTGTTCTCTCCCATAGTAGGATGTTGCTGATAGTGTCTGACCAGCGCATTTGAAGTATTTCGTGTAGACAATTGTTAATAAACACTTGTATCTTCTGGATGATGACTTTCGTAGTTCTCCAAATTTCCACCACATACAGTAGAACTGTTTTGACATTTGTATTGAAAATTCTGAAATTGGTATTGGTTGGTTGACAGACAGTTGTTTTGAGTTCCAGATATTCTTCAATTGTAAATGTGCTGCTCTTGCTTTGCCGATCCGCGCTTTCACATCTGCATCAGATCCACCGTGTTCATGAATGATGCTGCTCAGATATGTCAATGCTTTTACATCTTCCAAATTTTCTCCATCAAGTGTGATTCAGTTGTTTCATTCTGTGCTGTATTGGCGAATTTCGCTTTTCCCTTTGTGTATATTGAGACCCACTGCTGCTGAGGCTTCTGCTACACTGTTCGTCTTCTCCTGCATTTGTTGTTTCGTGTGCGACAGAAGATCCGGATCATTTGCGAATTCTAGATCGTCCAGCCGCATCCTAGCTGTTCATTGTAGCCCATGCTTTCCCTCAGGGTGTTGACGTCTTCATGATCCAGTCGATTACCAAGAGAACTAGAAAGAGTGAGAGTAAGCAACCTTGCTTGACAACAGTCTTTACTTCGAACGAGTTTGTCAGCTGTCCTCATCATTTGTTCCTACTACTTAAATTATGTATGATATGCATAATTTAAGTAGTAGGAACAAATGGTGAATATTATGCTTAATCAATCAATAATCTCTAGCTTGATCCCATCCTTATACAATTTATAAATCGTGGCAAAGCTTGATAATCTAGTTTATTGTTAAGCTTTGCTGATTATTTTGTAAATGTGTTGTACAGTTGATTTTCATTGTAAGATTTCAAACACTAGAGTGTAAAGTGTGAATACTAATATCAAGTTATGTTCATGATAAAAATTTGAGTCATAGTCAACCTGATCATTAGTTTTCATAGTAATTTCAAAGGTAATTCATCAAATAAATATAAGTAATACAGAACATAAATGGATTTTATCATTCTCTTTATCAGTTATAAGTAGCCTAAATATTCAATTCATAATATGGTTCAAACCAAATAATCAACATTATTCTTATGAATGAAGTTTGACAAAAATTCGTAATCAAACACCTAATCAGATTGATAAGACATATCACCTACACATAGAAAACAACATTATGCATTATAGAGGAAGAATGTATTTATAAAATCTCAGTGAAAGAATTTAAAGTAAATCCAACGTTTCATCTGGCAATCTGGTCCAAGCTTTTTCAAAGAAATATATCTTTAATGTCTCACATTAACTCGGTGCCCAAATACTGTGAAACTATTATGTATTATAGTTGAAACTAATATATAGTGCTTCACTCACTTTTATACATAGAATTCATTCTTTTCTAATCATGTAGTGAAATTATGTAATTATTACTTTTTTGATAATCACTATTCATCTTATCTGCCTTACTTTACGTGGTTAGATTTTGTATTCTTATGTAATAATCCTCCATAATTTTGTCTCATTTTGAATTTCTGTCTTAACTTTCTTAAATAAAGTATACCAGTGTATTTAGTATCTGGGAAGAACTGAAATCCAGGACTTGTGTTTCATTCTAGTTAGTACTTGTCAATTGGATGACATGAATCCCAGTGTTGATATTTATACCAATACTTAAACTCAGCCTCTGTCACTTTAAACGTCAACTCATTATTCACTAAACTGAAGAATCCAGTTAGCCATTACCATGTTCAACGTGTATGAAGGTATCCATAAAGGTTTTGTAATTTTAACCATTCCCCTTTCATCCCGTGAGTTGTTGTAGCTGTAAATTATTTGAAGATAAACAAGAATGAATTATACTTAGGCCACTTCTGGTCTGAGCCATGTTGATAGATGAAGACTACTTGGTTGGGTTCCGAGTGACTATCGTAACCAATGGTCGGAGACTCTTGGTGACATGGTTTAGAATCGACCACATTGACGTAGGTGTATACAGTCTCTGTCTTCCCTTAAACTACGACATTAAAATCGCTTCATATCTTTCTTTCTACGTACTAATTCTTTCTTTCTGTACTATATCCTTATATACAATCTTTCTTTTATATATTACCACTATTGACTTAACTATTCCTATGAATCCGGTGTTCATCTTGCTGTGTTAATGAGGTATGGCAACTTGGACCGATGCATGGATGTGCTTGTTCCTACGTTGTATCTGATTGAATGACTGATTATTATACTCTATAAATCTTGTTGCTGATTTCCCTCTGTTAAAAATAATCAAAGAAACTAAGTGTATAACAGTGTAAGTTTCAGAAAAAATGTAGAATACAAATACTAAATAATCACCATAGAATACTACATATTGATGGAATAGTGGAGAGGAAATCTATAGATTTCTACCTAGGAAAACGCTGAGTATACATTGATCGAGCTCAAAAGAAAAAGGTTTTTCCAAGAAGCTAAAAACCAACAAAAGTAAGAGTTATTTGATTTTCAAACTATGATCAGTAGCTTATTTAAATAGGATCGGCAAAGCAATAGCAGTATATTTACAATTGAAGAATATCTGGAACTCAAAACTACTGTCTGTCAACCAACCAATACCAATTTCAGAATTTTCAATACAAATGTCAAAACAGTTCTACTGTATGTGGTGGAAATTTGGAGAACTACGAAAGTCATCATCCAGAAGATACAAGTGTTTATTAACAATTGTCTACACGAAATACTTCAAATGCGCTGGTCAGACACTATCAGCAACATCCTACTATGGGAGAGAACAAACCAGATTCCAGTGGAGGAAGAAATCGGGAAGAATCACTGGAAGTGGATAGGACACACATTGAGGATCGCACCGAACTACATCACAAGACAAGCCTTCACATGTAATCCTCAAGACTAAATAAAGGGGAAGAGGAATACCAAAGAACACATTACGTCGAGAAATGGAGACATAGATGAGAAGAATGAATAACAATTGTATAGAAGTGGAAAGGAATGAGTAGGACAGAGTGGGTTTGAGATTGGTGGTCTATGGCCTATGACTTATTGAGAATAACAGGCGTAAGTAAGTAAATAAGTAAGTTATTTAAATAGGTGGCTGAATTGTTGACCGAAATTTCAATTTACAATATAAAGTGGTTATTAATTAATACAATCTATATTCATAACTGGCTTTATGTTGCTAATTTCTATCATATTGAAAAACAAATGAAACTTTATGAATTCACAATAGACATTAGACTGAAAAACCATTTTATTATTATGGATAAGATTTGTTGTTTGCATCAAGCAATGGATGAATTCACATAGCTTTTCTACTGATGCATATCATGATCAAAGTATGATTAGAAAAACAATCACACACTTAGATAAACCAGCTTCATAGTAATATATAAGTGAAATGATTTACAAAAATAAACAATCGTCTAAAGATTGAGTTATGCTATTAGGGACCATTAAATGATACAGTAAAATTATATCAACTCAGAAATTTCTAATTTGTTATACAAATAGTTTTCATGTAAATTAAATATAGAGTAAATAGATAGAAGTTCACTTGGTATTATTTTACTTGAATCTTCCCATTGATGTTTAGGTCTGCAATTGATCAATCATTTGTTAGCACATGTGCATCCTGTGAGGATTGCTTCGTTAATGCCTTAATTCACAAGCATTATAAACAAAAACGGATAGTGGCTAGCAGTGGAATCCAGGACGCGCGTTTCGTCCTATTTAGTATTCGTCAGCTGGATGTACCTGTATCCCAGAGTTGATGTTCACTCCGGGACTGTAACCCAGTACCGTTCGCTTCAAACGTGATCGCGTTATCCACTTAGCTTATGGCCTGTTCCGATTATGTTTAGCAATAGAGGACGATGGATGTTTATCCTCTACTCTTATTGGGTCACTTGATTGTATTTGTTCCTGCAACCATTTTGGTACATGTTCATACACCGTAATTTTGAGATCACGATTGCTCCTCCCTATGTATGTGTGACCACACACACATTTAAATTGGTAAACACAATGGGATGTGACACAATCG